CACCATTCCTGAAAGCTCCTCTCTGGTTCCTTCTTGCAGGATGCAGCCTTTCCAATTCTACAGTGAGAGTTAGCAAATTCCATGGCTAACAGAGGACGTCTTTATAAACTTGCCTTGTCTTCGCCCAGCGGCGTTGGTGGCGGACAGGATGACGTTGAACTCCCTATGACTATCTAGATAGTTAACTGCTGGGCCTCGGCATCCCAATACAATTTAATTTTTAGACAGGTAGGTAGATGTACTTACTGAAGTATCTCGCTCGTGCGTCCTGTTTATTGCTTGTTGGACAGATATGTGTATATATTCCTTACCGGAAGACAGCCAAATAGTTAGCAGCAACTAATCGACAGCTCCGTCTGTTAGTCCATCTCGTAACGAGCCCTTGACTAGAAAGCACTCTGGAAGAGCAGAGGCGTCATTCAAGGTCCCACTCGTCCTTCAATCTATACTCCAGACTCCGTAATGCTGCATCGACCTAGCCTGACAGCAAGATAATGAGATCAATCAGAGACATCCCCCGGATCAGCATAGGGATGTCCTCGATAGTCTCTCCTGACCACGCGACTGCGCGGTGCAGTACGGAGTACACTAGTGTTATCAACCGACGCAGGAACCCCCATGGGCCTGAGAGTATCAAAGACTATCTCTGACCCTGCATATAGTTGCCCAGTCAATGCAATGATAGAGAGATAGGACAGCAGCAGTCCGGCTTATCCTCGGCCTGCCATTATTGACAGCAAGCATCTCGCCATGAGAAGCATCTCGTCAGACGTAAACGCATACCAGGCCAGGATCTCACTCCCACGCCTTGCATCTTGCATCGACCAGCAGCCTCACCTGCCCACTCCTGCATCCGGGATGTATCCATTTAATAATACTTAAGAACGGCCCGCTGCCGATCAGACGGGAACTGAAAGAAGGGAGGGCTGTCTTGGGGTGGCCAGATGGCAGTCTTTTTCTTCCTCCTCGTTCGTTTGCCATCTCAGGCCGCTGTTCGTCGCAGTCTCCTTGATATCTGTAGCTCTTCGTATCCGTAGGTCTTGCCGATGCAATACGAGTCCCCCTGAGAGATCGAGAGGAGAGGAGGTCGAGATTATAATCTGGTCGGCGATATTATAGCTCAGCTGAGAGACATATAACTATCAGGATGAGCCCCTGATCCCTGGACGAGCCCAAGGACGAACTGCGTCTTCCCTGCAGCTGCAACGGTCGTCTTTCACATGCTCACGTCTTTGTCGAAGGAGAGGCCGAGCTGTTGCTGTTGTTTTGCTGTTGGCTGTTGGCTGTTGGCTGTGAGATTGCAGTCTTAGCTGGCCCCCCGGCGCGGTGATAGACGCCCTGGGATCTCGATGCTCACGAACTAGTTGCCGAGTTAGCAGCTGCTCGGGAAGAATCAAATACGAAGCAAGCGTCAAGCCATCGCCAGGGAGGTCTTTGGTCGTTCTATGGCTATATATAAGTAGCCACGACCGCCTGCTGTGAACCCGTTAGTTATTAGTTAATTAACCATCCATATAACTACGTAGCATGTCGGGCTGCCTCGCCGTCTCCACAGCCAGATAACTAGCATCACCGCCGCCGCACAGCTTGACCACCATCCTGCGTCGGTCGAGGAGCTGGACAGCCTGCCAGGACCGTCAGGATGGTGTCTCTTGATACCCAGCCGCCGCCGCTGAGCTGCGTGACGCTCACCTTCCCGGCGCCCTACGTGCTGCTGGCGACCATCAACCGCCCGGCGCAGATGAACTCGCTCTCCTTCGAGGCCGCGTGGGAGATGGACCGGCTCTGGGACTGGATGGACGAGGAACCGCAGATGTGAGAGCTTTCCTACCCGCGGCCATGGCCATGAGACGGCAGCTCCTCTAACCGCTCTATCAGACGAGTCGGCATCATCACCGGTGCTGGCAAGAAGGCCTTTTGCTCCGGCATGGACATCAAGGGTTCGCACCCCTTACCCCCTATATCTATATTATATCTACAGACACACACACACACATATATATATACTGACATCTAATGTATACCCTTAGATCGCCTGGAGATAGAGAAACTCGATGAACTCGCCCTCGCAAAGGCAGTCAACTATCCTCCCACCGGCTTTGCGGGACTCACTCGCCGCTCCGGCAAGAAACCCATAATAGCAGCCATCAACGGCCACGCACACGGCGGCGGCTTCGAGATCGTGCTCAACAGCGACCTCGTCATTGCTGCCGAACACGCCGACTTCAAGCTGCCCGACTCTGCTCGCGGCACAGGGGCCCTCTGCGGCGGCCTGCCCAGGCTGGCCCGCATCCTCACCCTGCAGCGAGCAATGCTGCTGGCGCTGCTGACCTACACCCTGTCCGCGCAGGAGGCCAAGGAATGGGGTATTGTGCAGAAGGTGGTGCCGGCAGACGACCTGGTCAAGGAGGCCGTCAAGATGGCCAGCGGGATAGCTGCCATGAGCCCCGACAGCATCATCGTCAACCGCGCCGGCGTCAGGCAGGGCTGGGAGACAGCGAGCGTGGAGCATGCCTCGACGCTGATATGGGACACCTATGCAAAGAAGCTGATGCTGGGGGAGAATGCCATTGAGGGCATGCAGGCGTTCAAGGAGAAGCGACGGCCAGTGTGGAAGCCGTCGAAGCTGTGAGTATTGACAGACTGCAGTGGTTATAACAGTAAGGGGTCTACGAGGTAGCTATAGTTAACTGTCATCTGCTTCTCTTGTGCAGTATAATAATTATCAATAATATCAAATTTTTAATATGTAGACTCCACCATCCATAGACAGTTGGCTCCTTAACACTTCTTTGCCGGACAAATAACTGACTGACAAGCAAAACCATGACATAAAACTAGCACAAGGGGCGGCTATCTTTATTTCCCTCCTTACCGTTGAGCCAGGTTCGAGACTCTTTTATCTAGTTGTTTGTTGCTCTAAGTAGGTTGTTTGATACGAGAATCCTCGAAGAATGCGGAGGTATACGAAAGCCGAGGGTCAAGATGGTGAAACGGCTGCTACCTGGTCAACCTGCATGATCTATAACTAGTTAACTAAATATCCAGCGACTAGATAGTTAGCTGGCTGTCACATACTTCCAGCACTGGACGAGCAACATGGCTGCTCCCTTTGGCTCTCCCGTCCCCTACGCTGAGCCGCAGTGGTATTCCCGCGACTGCTCGCCTTACCACGATGAGTCTCACAGGAAGCTGCGCGCGTTTGTCCGAGACTATGTCGAGATGGAGCTGATGCCCTATGCCCACGAGTGGGAAGAGCAGGGCTTCGTTCCAGATGAAGTTCGTCCTCGTCGGCCGCCTTATATATATATACCCTTTTATAAGCATGTCTAACGGGAAAACACACTCATTCTAGACCGTCAGGAGGTTTGCGAAGAATGGCTTCTGCATCATAGACAGATCCAAGCCCGAGTACATGGGTGGCATCAGCCTGCCAGCCGGCATTGCACCGGGAGAATGGGACATCTTCCACACCCTCATCGTGGCGGATGAGCTGAACAGGTAACTAACCAGTTAATCACCAGAGTATCCTTGGATTTGTATAAATACTAATGCAGGTCGAACTGCCAGAGTCGGATACAGCGGGCCTGTCTGGGGTCTAAACGGGGGCAATAGCATCGGCTGCCCCCCTATCATGAACTTTGGAACCGAGCAGCAGAAGCTGGAATATCTTCCTAGAGTTGCTCGTGGGGAGATACGATTCTGCCTAGGAGTCACCGAGCCAGACGGTACGCTATATGAACTACACATGCCATAAGTTATAGAGCGACTACTAACATAAACGCCCTCTAGCCGGATCTGATGTCTCTGGGATCAAGACCGTGGCAAAGAAGGTCGGCAGCCACTACATTGTCAACGGAGCAAAGAAATGGATCACCAACGGGATCTGGGCGGACTACTGCACTGCGGCCGTCAGGACTGGCGGGCCAGGCCATGGCGGTATATCCTTTCTCATCATCCCCTTGACCGCAGAGGGGGTCACCAGACGGCGGATGTTCAACTCCGGCGTCCACGCAAGTGGCTCTACTTTCCTGGAATTCGACGACGTGGAAGTACCCGTCGAGAACCTAATCGGCAAGGAAAACGAAGGATTCAAATATATCATGTCAAGTAAGGACTCTCTTCGTACCCATGCACTTCTTTTATGAACAAACGGACGGACCCCTTGTCAGGGCTAACATGTAGACTACATAGACTTCAACCCAGAGCGGCTCAGCCTGGCCAGTGCCTGCATCAGGCTCTCTCGCGTATGCGTAGAAGATGCCTTCAGATACTCTACGGTCCGAGAGACGTTCGGCAAACCCCTACTGGCTAACCAGGTCATCAGGGCAAAAATCAGCAAGATGGGCCAGCTCATCGAGCCCTGCCAGGCATTCATGGACCAGCTAGCATATACCATCAAGACCTCTGAGCAGACTGGGCGGAAAATCGATATTGGAGGAATGACTGCCCTGCTCAAGGTGATGAGCACACGCTGCTTGGAGAAGGTGTGTAGGGAAGCCCAGCAGATCATGGGCGGAGCAGGGTATAACAAGGCTGGCAAGGGATCAAGAATCGAAGCCATCAGTCGTGATGTTCGGGTATATGTCGTTGGTGGAGGAAGTGAGGAGATACTGCGGGATCTTTCTGTGCGCGAGGAGCTGAAACACATGCGTAAGGTCATGGAGGCGCAGAAGAGAGCTAAGTTGTGATACTTTGCTTATATCGGGTTAGTGTAATTTGCTTGGTTATAATTGTCTTCTCAGAGATTATCCTTGTATCAACCGGTTTGAAAATCAGTCCCATTGAAATGGTATACGTATGATACAGGGGAACAAGAAAACAATCGAGTACTGCAGTGCAGATATGACAACACCAAACTCCGAGCCTTATAAAAGAAAATCATTCCCATGTGCTAATGAGCGGTATCTGATCGCCCATCCAGAAATTCTTGCAATAAGCTGTATGAAGATAAAGATAGATACGGGTATATGAGTGGGATATTAGCTGTCTGGAATTATCTAAAAAATTCTTCCAAACATCCCTGTTGCAAAGTTCCCGGCAATCCCGCCAGAAAGGGCATTCGAGGCAAACGAAGAAGCCTGGCTGAACCTGTCACATCTTGAGAATGCCAGAGTGTTGGTAATCGTGAGAATAAGAGCAATTGCTAAAAAAAAAGTACTTTGGTCAGCTGCCGGCTACATCCATTACCCTGAGGGTGTACACTAAAACATACCGACAAGACTGAGCCAGATCACACTCTGCAGCCGGATAATGGCTAGAACAGCCAGTCCAATCCACAATGCCGGAGTGCTGTAGAGCCCCAGCCAGAAGAACCGCTTGTCCGTAGCGCTGATGACACGGGTATTGGGGTCTGAGCTCTCAAACACCCAGTGCGATTCACCGGTCTGCATGTTGACTTCATTCCACCACCGCAGCCCCACTAGTCGACGGCCAGCAATGTTCTTCAGGTAATAGAAATCGGCAGAGAGCAGGAGGAGAGTGATGATAAAGACGAGAATGCTGCAGGGCAAACAGTAAGCATGGTTTGGTTGGATAGGTAGTAGATATATGCAACGTCCCCAGTGAACTGTTGCGGGCAGGGAGACGTACAAGTTTTTGATGAAGAGGACTCCGAATAAGTACATGAGCAAGCTACCTAAGCAAGAATGTTAGCAATGCCGGCCTCCTCTTCCCAGGCTGGCAATGGCCATAGATTAAGCTGGTGCCTGGAGATGGTCGGTGACTGTCCTCATACCTATTCTGAATCCGAGAAAGAAGAGCAAAGTGAGCGGGTGAGCACTCAGGCGCCAGTTAAGGTCGCCTGGCATCGGCTGAGCTTGTGCCTGGGCCTGTTCCATGTTTTGATCGCCGTCTCCGGGTCTCCTGTCCGTCTGTCTGTTCGGTTCTTCTCCAGCTGCGCCAGCTCGTCCGTCAAGCAAAAGTCGCGAAAGTGTCCAAAGTTGGCGGGTTCGTCAGGTGGCTTATGTAAGATATATCTTGGCATTTATTTGGCTTCGTTTCTTCTTTTCTTTCCGAACGTCAAGTCGGCTTTTTGCGTGTTTCTTCGATATTATTGAAGTCTCGAAGTCTCGATGGACTGGCGGAGCGATAGACGGCGCTGAGCTGGATGTCGGGGATATACCTGGTTAACAGCAGCGATGCTCTATGGTGGTCCCATGGTGGGCAGATATTGCAGCTACCGGATGATATCAATGGCACCTCAATTGATATCAAGTTGATACCAATATACCTAGCCTGAATCAAGTATCCTATATACTGAGCTTTTCAGAGTGATAATACTATATCTTATATACCGTTCTGTTCTAGTAGAAGATGTCATAGTAGATACCTCTAAACCTTCTTAAGTCTTGAAAAATATGGTTATCTGGTCTATATAATGGACAGAGCCATATATATATATAGGCAGCCAATGGATTTCTATATGATTCTGCAAGGGGTTTCTGCATTCCTGCCTTTGTCTCTCTCCTTGATATCCTGCAGCTAGCCGGCGTTTGTCATGGACTGGCAAACCAGGGAGCCCTCATCAGACGGATACACCTTTTCTTCACTCTCTATCAAGCAGCCTATACTGTCCTGCAGTAAGATCATGCAAATCATGTCCTCTCTAAAAGTGCCAGTAAGATGTCTAGTAGTAAGAGCCAGCTGTCCTGTGGTTGTCCTGGAAATCCTTCCTCCTGCTCTTTTTCCCTTTCATCGCGTCTCTGCAGTTTTCGTCTGACAATAGCAACAACAACAGCAGCAGCTTTGCTAGCTGTCCTTCTATACACCCAAGACTGCCCTTCAGTGCTCTGCTGCTTGATTAGAGCCAGTCCTCCTCTTCTCTGTGAGCTCTCTCCACGCCGAGATATCTGTCCTCACTCACCTGAGCGTGTCAGCGGCTGTGCTGCTAGCTTGTCCTATTTTATTTATTTATTATTTTTTCTTTCCTTTCCAACCCACATTTTCCTTCTACCAAAAACTTTTCCTCCTTCTTCTCACCCAAAGAACTTTGGAAACTGATAATTGCTGCAGACCAGAGAACTTGTCAAGGCTGCCCATCATGAGTGACTGGCAGCAGGAGGCTGGTAAGTCTTTTGTTTACCCTTTCCCGATGCCCCTCGAGGTCGAGGTCGTCGTCGCGGGGCTGGCTACCTTTCGTTGGTGATATCTCACATCAGGGAGCACCACAGCCATGACGAGGGGTATCAAATCCAGCTTGAATACGTCTAGCTAACTCGTTCCTGATGCTAGCCAATGCCACCTGGAACGACGGTGGTGACGCGGGAGGCGATAAGTGGAACGATGGAGGCGATGGCTTCGGTTCTGGTGCCACCAACGACATGGCCGTTGTCGCAGCTGATGACAACGCGAATGGGGATACCTGCCGCAAGTAAGTGTAATATCAAACGACTGCCATAAATCAGCCCAAGTATCTAATGACGTCCTTCCTTTACAGCTGCGGGCAGGCTGGCCACTTCGCTCGTGAATGTCCGGAACCGAGAAAGCCCTCTGGGGCATGTTTCAACTGTGGCCAGGAAGGGTATGACACGCTCCCATTTGACATCAAGATTTTTTTTCTCTTTTAGCTGACGCCCTGAAAACAGTCACAACAAGAGCGACTGTCCAAACCCCCGTGTTTTCACCGGCACCTGTCGTATCTGTGAAAAAGAAGGACATCCAGCTGCCGAATGTCCTGACCGTCCCCCGGATATCTGCAAGAACTGCAAGGGAGAAGGTAGTGTTTTGAATTTATTGCTGCATGCCCAATCATACGCTTCATCTAACAGACGATTCAGGCCACAAAACCATGGAATGCACTGAAAACCGCAAGCTTGAGCAGCATAATGTCCCTGATAAGCTCCCAGAAGAGGCTTTGGAGATCTTGAAGAAGGCTAGCAAGGAGAGAGACCTCGAGGATTTCCGTGATGTAAGTGGTCCCCATCAGTCGGCATACGAAATCATGTTGGCTAAACTCGAGGGTATAGGGCTTGAAGATCTACAGCAAGGCGGTTCCCCTTGCCACCTATGTTGATATTGAGAAGCTTTTGCGCCAGGAGAAGCTCAGTGTCTACTTGATTGCGCTTGTAAGTAGTCATGAACTCCCGGCTGGCCAATGAATATTAATGAAACCTGTCAGGAACGTGAAATTGGCGATTGCCACACTGTCGTCAATCTTCAGGGGAAGCTCAACTGCAAGTATGTTGTGGGTCTCTACTTCAGTGACAAGCCCCAGCGTATCAACCTCAAGGAACGCTGGCCTGCCACCCCGGAGGAGAACCTCGAACGTCTTGCTGAGGCCGGTTTCCCTCTTGATCGTCAGATCCCCAAGTGCTCCAACTGCGGAAGTAAGACAAGACTGCCATCCTCAGATTCAAACAGTTATTTCACTGCTAACTTTTTGTCCTCAAGAAATGGGCCATATCATGAAGAGCTGCAAGGAGGAACTTTCTGTTGTCGAGCGTGTGGAAGTCAAGTGTGTTAACTGCAAACAGCCAGGCCACCGTGCCCGTGACTGCAAGGAAGCCCGTGTCGATAGGTTTGCTTGCCGTAACTGCGGGTAAGTAGCTTTTGCATTGAAGACCTACTTTTTGCCGCATATAATTGCTAACTCTTGGTACAGAAAGGGCGGTCATCGTTCCAATGAATGCACTGAGCCTCGCTCTGCTGAAGGGGTTGAATGCAAACGCTGCAACGAAGGTATCATCATGAACGCCAACCCAACAACCCTTGCAACAAAAGGAAGAAGCTAACGCCTAGGTCTTCATAGTCGGCCACTTTGCCAAGGACTGCCCTCAGGGAGGTGGTTCTCGTGCTTGCCGCAACTGTGGGTTAGTTGGCCATTTATATATTTTAAACACCCGGGTTTTATCACAGCTGCTAATAATGTTGCTGGCTATAGGAGCGAGGATCATATAGCCAGAGACTGTGACCAACCTCGCAACATGGCGAATGTCACTTGCCGCAACTGTGAAGAAAGTGAGTTCCTACCCAAGACCTATAATTATTATCCAACACATCTAACGGACGTTGTTAGTGGGTCATTTCAGTCGCGACTGCACCAAGAAGAAGGACTGGAGTAAGGTTAAATGCAGCTGCTGTGGAGAGAGTATGCTCCCCCCCCCCCCTTTCCTGACTTTGTGCATTTATTTGTTTTCATGACATATGTATTCCCGTATATATGCTGACCACAGCAAAACCATAGTGGGCCACACCATTCGACGCTGCCCCCAGGCCCCTGCTGATGAAAACGGCGGCAATGGTGGAGGTTTTTATAACAATGAGACACCAGACTCAGCTGCTGTCCAAGCCGCCGGGAGCAACGTCATGGAGCCCGAAGCCACTTGGGGTGGTGGAGACACTGCTGGTTGGTAAAACCCGTGACATCCATTATTCTGTTGACAGTCCATCCAACAACAACATGTGAGGATTGCATCAAACGGGTGAAAAATGGCCGAACCCAAGCAACACGAGGATTGACTTGAGACAAATGCGCGAATAAAAAAAAAAAAAAAAAACAATAATAAATGATGGGAGGCAACAAAAAATGCATTTAAAGGGTAAAAAAAAAATAAGGAAAATTACAAAGGACAAAAAAAGGGGAGCAAGATACGAGATCAATAATTTGTACAACAGCAGGTTGCCAGCAGAGTGTAGTAATTCAGATAGCCACCCAAACGAAGACAATTTGACGCGCAACGTACTCCGTACCCGGGCTCGTACTCTGTTGTTACCCAGCAACACTTATGCAAGATGTCGAGAAAGGCGCTCAGCTCTGTACATCTGCTGCAAGGGTTGGTTGTAATGTTGGCTGTTGCGTTGTTGGACCGCCATGGGATCTGCTCTCTGGCTGGCGCTTTGGATCCTTTGATGTCCAAAAAAACAATAAGAAAAAAAAAGAAAAACAAGGTTCACGACCGGCTTACCCAAAGAGGAATCCCGGCTGGACGCAAAAACGGGAAGGTCCAAGCCCGGATAAAGGTATCTCCGGCAGCCGCTCAGCCGAGGCCCGAAACCGCCAGCCGCTCCGGCGTTTCTTTTTCCGCCGGCGGTGCCTGACCCGTTCGCTCCCTCTTGAGGCCATCGCGACGACGTTGGCGGTTGGCCGGAGTCTGTGTGGCTTTGTTTTTGGCCAGCAACACGGTGGGCGATGCAACGGGAGCATCGACAGCACCTCTAACGTCATGGCTCCCTCCACATGTGGGTTCGTGGGTGCAGGGAAACGCTCCATGTCAAGGGGGTGCCAGTCGTGGTGGCCCTCTCTCTCTCGTCTGCACCCTGTGGGCAGGCATCCAACCCGCGCACCCACCGTTAGTTACACGCATAGCGTGTCGGAAAAGAAAAAGGCGCCACAAGAACTGAATCGCAGCCCCAGATGAAAAGGCGCAGAGTGAACAATAATGTACAACAATCTGCTGCCCGTTGGCTCTCCAGCCCATCTGATCAATCCTACGGAGCTTCGAGCGCGGGTAAACGGGACAAGAGCGAGAGAGGTCGGCCAACTGGGATGAGACGGGGATGGAGCCGGGTTACCCAAAAGTGGCAACCGGACAGTTCGGCGGCGGCTTCAAAGAAACAAAAAATCAATCAAAAAGAGCGCGAGAAGAGAGCGAGAAGGGGAGACGGCCATATAAGCATTTCTTGGCTGAGGGAGGAAGCGCCGAAAAAGCGACATCGAGAGCGGCTTTTTTTACAGCGACAGGGCCTTTGACTCGACTGGCCAAGCGCAAGCGAGCTGGTTCCTCTGGTTTTAGACGAGCTTCCTCGATCGAGAGATGTGACTCCTAGAGTTGCCGGTCCCACCTGGAACTTTACGGATAACCATATACTCCTACAGTAAAGTACGGAGTACTCCGTACGGATACAAGAGAGGTAGCCAGGGAGAAGAAGGAGTATATGTTTCTGGAAGAAATACGGGTACCCCTGGCCAGAGGTACTTTACGGCTCTTGTTCCCTCTGGAAATATGAATACAACCCCGAGCACAGGTACTACGGTGGAGTATGGGACGACCGCTGGAACCGAATCAGCGTGGACGGAGCAAAGAGTTTGCCTTGCGGTATGCTGTGCGTGGATGGTACATTGCTCCATCAAAACGAAGGCAAACTGCATGACATATACGGAGTACTTGGTAATTAGTCCTTCTGCTAACCCCCATACTTACTCCGTTCCCTTCCCCCTTCTTTTTTCTTTTCTTTCTTCTGCAGCTGGCTCCTCCACGAGCCAGGAAAATTTCCCGTCACTAGTGGATGCTGGGGATTCCCGAAGGCAAGAATAATAGATGGGATCAACTCCCGATGCCCAATGAGACCGCCAACATTCCATGGAAGCCATGGAACCCCATGCCATGGCCGCCGTCCGCTCGTGTGTGACAAGAACTCTCCCATTCACCATGCAGTCAGTCATCGAATATTATTCGATCCATGCTTCAAAGGAAGCAGTATCAAAAAGAAAGGGAGCAGAAGAAAGGGAACAAGAAAGAGAAAAAGCAATAACCCAACACACCCTTGAGGGTTTCCGAGAGTTTAGTTGACTTAGTTAGTTATGCTAAGATGAAATATGGAGACGCCTTTTCTTATCCAGCGATGTCAGAGCCAGGGATCCTTCGCGGTCCATGCTGTAACCGCATCTCGCTGGCGGCTTCTCATGCGTGGATCGCCATGCTGTGTCACGCCCGAGAAGCAAGAGGAAGAAGCTGGGCGAGCGCAGCGCGGCGAACGGATGGGATGATACATTTGTTATAAAAAGGACCTCCACAGGCCCCCCCCTCCTCCACCGCGCAGCTTTTTATAGCTCTGCTTCTTCCTCTTCCTTTTTCTATAATTGTTTCCTTTTCTTTCTTCCATCCGTTGTTGTTTGTTATCCCGCTGGCCTGGGGTAGTTGCTGTACGGACTGGTTGAGAGTTGACTCTTGCGACAGGTAGCGTTGTCGTATCTGCTTCGTCCCGGTACGGACATCCTACTATCAACGACATCTACTCTGTTGACGCACCACATCAACAGCTGCCAGACAGCGCCAAAACGAAAGAGACCGTCAAACCATGGGCGTGGGGAGTCGGTACTTCGGCCTTCGAGGCACGAAGCTCAACATTGCCATTGGCATCATTGCCGGCCTGGATTTCTTGTAAGTTACGCCCCGGGCTCTTAGGGCGCGCGAAGGCGGGTGCCGGTACCATCATGACGACGTGATATATGCTGACTCGAGGGGATCCAGGCTCTTCGGCTATGACCAGTATGAACTATCCTATTTACACCTATAGCTCCGGTTTTGTTTTCCTCTTAGGCGGAATGAATAGAAGACATATCTAACTCGGATTCAGAGGCGTCATGGGCGGACTGTTGACGCTCCATTCTTTCGAAAAGGTCTTCCCTGAAATCGCTACCAGCAACGCAGCGGTTGCAGGCTTGACCCGGGCCGAAAAGAACCACCGATCTACCATTCAGGGTGCGTGTTATTCGTTTTTGTACGTGTGCCGTATCTCAATCTGATGCGTTAATGCAGGTATCTCGGTCGCATCATATAACCTCGGATGTTTCGTTGGCGCAATTGCTTGTATCTGGGTCGGTGACAGACTCGGCCGTCGAAAGACTATCTGGCTGGGCTCTGTTATCATGGTCGTTGGTGCTACTCTGCAGGCCTCTGCCTTTGGTCTCCCACACTTCATCGTCGGTCGTCTTGTAACTGGTGTCGGCAACGGCCTGAACACCTCCACTGTACCAACATGGCAGTCCGAATGCTCCAAATCCCACAGACGAGGACAGCTCGTCATGGTCGAAGGTGCTCTGATCACCGGAGGTATCTGTCTCAGTTACTGGCTGGACTTTGGATTCTCCTTCCTCGAACCCAGCTCGGTCTCATGGCGGTTCCCGATTGCATTCCAGATCGTTTTTGCCCTCATCATCATGTTCGTGGTCATGGGTCTACCAGAGTCTCCTCGATGGCTCGTTCTCAAGGGCCAGGAGGACGAAGCTATGAACGTTCTGGCTGCACTTAGCGATTTGGACAGGGAGGACAGATTTGTCCACTCGGAGTTCTCTGCTATCAAGGATACGGTCATTGAGATGCAGAAGGGCAGCTTCAAGGACCTGTTCACCATGGACAAGGACCGCCACTTGCACCGTGTCATTCTCGCATACGTCAACCAGATGTTCCAGCAGATTTCCGGTATCAATCTCATCACATACTATGCTGCCACCATTTACGAAGGAAGCATCGGTCTCAGTCCATTCCTTTCGCGAATTCTGGCAGCTTGCAACGGTACCGAGTACTTTATTGCATCCTGGATTGCCGTTTTCGTCGTTGAAAGAATTGGCCGTCGTATGCTCATGTTGTTCGGTGCTGTGGGCATGTCCCTCTCAATGGCTGTCCTTGCCATTGCTACCAGCTTCAAGCATCAAACAGACGCCGGCATTGTCGCAGCCGTCTTCCTCTTCGTTTTCAACACCTTCTTCGCCATCGGCTGGCTCGGTATGACATGGTTGTACCCTGCAGAAATTGTTAGTTTGCCTGATCCCCCGAAGTTAAGTAAGCATGGAACACCTGCTAATCAATCATATTTACCAGGTCCCTCTGCGAATCCGTGCTCCAGCCAACGCCTTGGCCACTTCAGGAAACTGGATTTTCAACTTCATGGTCGTCATGATCACACCAGTTTCTTTCTCCTTGATCGAATACAAAACATACATCATATTTGCAGCTATGTAAGTTTCTTTTGATCAAAAGTAAGTTTTGACTCAGCTACTAACCATCTGCTCGCAGTAACGCTTTCATTGTTCCAGTGGTCTACTTCTTCTACCCAGAGACGGCCTACCGCTCCCTCGAAGAAATGGACTCGATCTTCAGAAAGACCAAGTCTATCTTTACCGTGGTAAAGGTAGCTCGCGAAACTCCAAGACGATACGGCAAGAACGGTGAAGTTCTCATCAACTATGATGAGACAGACGAGCACCGGACTCGTGCCGGCGTCACCCAGGAGGAGACGACGGCATCATTCCCCGAGAAGAGCAATGCAAACCCAGACCATGATGCTGAAACTGGTAACTCGAATAGCCCGAGCAACCAGAGCACAGCATAGGGTTGTTTGCAAGATGGGAATGATTTATACTTTGTCTTATTAAACTGCAAACTTTTCCTTGAAGTTAACCCCTCTAGCCATCCATTTCTTAACGAAGCATGTATGTATATGTTATTTGCGAGATAAGAAATATATACCCCTGGTAGTATTATGATTATATACACTAGAACTACATATCTGTTTATAAGGCCGGTGTTGGGTATTGGGCTGCGTTAATTATCGCTGTCATAACTGCTTTTATTATTTTAGCCGGGTCCGATCAAGTTTCCAGTTGGCCTGTTGTTAGGATTCTTGAGAAGCCCACTTGCATCATAGTAACACAGTCATCCTACAAGAATTAGAATAGAAGCTAGGCTCAAATGTGAATAGAGGCCACACTCATGTATTTACAGTGATCCTACAAAGTGCTAAATGTAGTTATAGAACATGCGTGGTAATATTGATTATATTATATAGGCTATCTGGCTAAACCGGCATATATTGGTGGTGCAGCATAGCTCCCACGGCATTGTGTGACAATGCACGTAATTAAACCGTCTTTAACATAGGGCCCTTGTCTTATCCGCAGCGGAGAGGAGCGCCTTTGCAGCCCTGTAAGCAATAGCCCACAGAATGTGCCCTGGAATGAGAATTGCAGTAGTAAGCCAGGTTGGGATCTGGAACACTCCCCTGCCCGCCTATAATCGACGTTAGAGGCCAAGTTCAACTCTAGCTATTCCTAAAATGAAAGAGACGGTGGAATGAGAGTTGATACTAAGCTGTTACTTATAAAGGCGATCAGCAAAGTACCAGCCACGATCGTGGTATCCAACACTGCAGAACATGGGGCAAGTAAAAGCAGCGGAAAGGACAAGAGCCAAGGAACGTAAAAAGTGCATGTTGACTGTTCGTTGGTTGAGTAAAACTGTGTTGTGAAATTGACACGTTGGAGTTTGATAACGCAGGAGGATCCTTGTAGACTTTGAAGAGCTCGTAGTAGGCACTTATATATGTCGTGTGAATTCGCTCCTATGAGCAGTCAATCATAAGTGGAAAAATTCCGTCTGTCGAAGCCGCGGCTGCTTTGCTCTCTAGGCGTCCACTACTATATCCTGGACTTTTGTATAGATATAGATATATGCAGATTGTTCCATCTTTCGATGTGCATAGTCGATGACGTAGAATCCAGAAATATCATTTAAAACTGAAATCACAATGGGATGCTAGTTCTGAACCCCCTGATGTAGGGCCATGGGAAGAGGAAAGAGACAGTTATCTCTGTTTAAGCGAAGCTTGACCTTGTACAAGCACATTGTACTGGGATGGATGCCTTAGCTGAGAGTTGGATATAGTGATAAATGTAGATATTATGCATATAATATGGAAAACACATGCACTAGATGCTTTCTGGTGACAGGGATAAAGGCTGCGAATTATTTCCCTCTAGAATATCTTCTGCAGCACAAGACTTCGAAAAGATGAACGCATCTTTTGATCTCTCCATCAAGTTGTCCGTCGTCGTGATATTTTTTTTTTCTACCTGTCTTTGGACCTTCAGGTTCAGTAACTGAAGCTGAATAAGCAGACATATATCACGTGATGATGAAGCGACCTCGGTAAAACTGACCAATGGCCTTCTTTGCGCTTGCTAGCTGCGCCTAGTTAAGCGCCCTGACTTCCTGCCATCAAGTAACGGCGACTGCTGCCAATTGATCAAGCTGCCAGGCTTATTGTCCCAGGTTGTAGTAAGATAAAGAACATTCATTCAGCTGTATCAAGTATATCCAAAACCGAACAAGACGCCGGGCTCGGCACAAGGCACAAGGCACAAGGAACGAAGAACAAACATTAAGGCGCTCAGATGAAAGCAGCATAAGAGATTCATAAGGACATTCACACGTAGCACTTGATATTAGTATGTGGAACGAAATTGGAAATGCAGGGATACAATAGTAACGCTGGAAGACAGGAGTCGGGAGGGGCATTGTGTAAATATAAATATATCGAAGTAAAAGCAAGGCCGGCTCAAACACATTACTTTGTACTAGATGTCAGTTATTAATAGTCATTAATACCAAGGAAGATCGGCTTCCTCGATTTTGGTACAAGTCAAATAAGTCACTGTTGGCCAGGAAGACGATGTATCGCTCTCGCCGTTAGCGCTCTTCAAGTCCAGCTCGAGAAAGTTGCGCATTAGCGGCTTCACGATTTCCTTCGCTAGGCGCTTTAGCTCGTTTATTTTGCTCTCCAGTCTCTTGAGGTTTTCACGGGAGTAGGACGTTGGGTGGAGTTTGAGGAAGCGTTTGATTTCGTCGTGATTCAAGTACGCCTGAGAGTTGGAAGATCCGATGAGTCTGAATGTTCGGCCAATACAGAAGGGGGCTTGTGGTTTGGTATCGACATCGACCTTGTTGGCTGCTGAATATCCAGTAGAAGGACGGGCGCTGGCGGTGGAAGGACGAGCGGTTGAAGGACGCGCAGGGACCGTTTGATTAGTTACTCGGCGCGAGGCAGTCGAGTTCGAAGGATTAAGCTGTCGACTGCCACTGCCACCGCCACTGCTGCTTCCGCCGCTGTGGGATAAGTTGCGTGTAGATGTCGAGGGATTGGCGCTTCTACCATCCCGTTGTGTAGATGTGGGAGGCGCTGGGAATTTTAATATCGTAGGTGGAGGCGGAGTGGTATTTTCAACCAACCATTGTCGGAATAGGGAGACAGCGAGCCAGTCCAAATAGTTGTTGAAGGGAGTAATACGCTCACCGCGTGAGGTGGTCAAAGTCAGGCGGAAAAGCTTTGACTCTACCCTTCTAATCTCGTCCTTGAGGTCTTCAACTTTGTCTTCTATCAAGTCCAGTACTGCTTCAGGAAGCGGTGATTTGTGTTCCCTTCCAACTAACGGCTGGGAAACGGGCCAGTCGCCGACGATATGAATAAGAGCCTCTGTAAAAATAACACGGCTGCGAGCCTGATAGCCAAGTTTGATATAACTTGCGGGAAATTTTGCAATATGTTTGTAAAGGGAAGAAGAGAAGCGCAGTAAGTGATAGTCCACTCGAGGGCCGGTAACGGTCAGGGCATCGTACATATCAGCGAGCGCAATCAGCGATTTACACTGGGAGTACGCTATGGTGATATTATGTGGGTTTAACTGCGGCGCATAGTTGTAGAATATTCGGAAGAGGTTGTCATAGTCACGAATTGTAGGATCGACGGGTATACTTTCCTCAGATTGCGTTGCCAGGGGCAGGTGAAGAGCAGACTGGATTCCTGTCAGATTGGCCATGGATTGAAAGAAGCCCTGCTGGGGAGGCACAGGCTTGTTTCGAGTTGGTAACGGCGGATGAGTCTGCTGCGCTGTTGACCCAAACACTGACTTGCTCTTACTTGGTGGCTGTGCAGCGTGTTAGCTGCGTTATAGTACGTTGTTGGGGGTCAAAGGCAGTGTAGGGCATACCTTCTGCACGAGAATTGGTACTTCATCCCCTTCCCGATTCTCCCAATCCAGCTCGTACCTCCATCTGGTCTTTACCGGCGGAATGCCATTTCGAAGCGTCAATGGCCGCGGAGTCTCGTTATCGTCTTCCTCGTCGCGCTTCTCACCACGCTCCGGCGCGACCTCGTGTCCGGGCAGGTCGGGTGCGTCTCCTCCAGGCCGAACCGACGTACTGGCCGAGATGGCCGCAGTGATCTCCCGCTGTGCCTGGACGCTCGACCACTCGTCACTCGTCGAAGCCTCGAAAAAGCCCGAGTTCTGCGCCAATATCAGACGATGCAATAGGTACCGACGTTCCTGATCTGCAGCGCGAATCACAATCTCCACATCGCCGGTGGTCGAGAAGACGGGGAACTCGTTAAGCGGCTGGTGAGACGAACCGCCAGCATGAGAGCGGCTGGGAAACCGAGGATGGCGTCTCGAGCGGCGCGATGAAGTCACTGAGGAAGCACCGCGGGATGTAGCCGTGGACGGTTCCATGGCCGTTGGTTGCGAAACCATGGGTAAGAGTGAAGCTCGTCCCTTTTTTAATTATTCTTCCTCGAGTTTAGATATATTATTTCAAGCCAACAGACGGCCGTGCTGGCGATCAAGGGGGTGAGAGAGAAGGAGGCCCGTCTCAGTGGGCGAAATCGAGCATGATCTGAGCAGAGCCGTTGGCGTAAATATAGAGCAGAGGGCAGCCGAGAGCAGCTTTTTATTTTGTCCCTCCCCAGGCTCACCGCAATAGACAGTATTTCCTGCTCTTCTTCGTCAAGAAGACGGGATGTCCCCTATGTAAGGGCTGACTTTGGCGCCGGCCAGTCTGTCTGTCTGTCTGTCTGCTGCTACTGTTGTTGTGGGAGCAGGAGGAGGTCGAGGTAACTTGAAACCAACGACTGAGACGGCGAAACGGAGTCGCGTAACTGGGATTGCCTCCGGGGGCTGCCAGGGGGGTCTCGACCATACAGGATAAGAGCAATAGTCAAGGGGAAAACAGGGCGAGAGGCCTGCCCATCGCTGGTCTCTGTCACAGCGCCTGACGTCGATGTTTTGGATGAGGCTGTGCAGCGTCTGAGGTCGCCGGCCCTCGCAAAATGCTGGCGAAAACGCGGCCTGGCGACGAGAGAGCCATTATATAGTTACATGGTTAGTTACAGCAACGCAGCCAAACTCATATGATCAGACAGAAAGCCGCACGGTCGAGGCATGGCTGCGAGAGGAGAGGCACAGCTGAAGAGCTCCTCAAGGCTGCGGCGCAGCGTCGAATCGCAGTGGTGAATCCAGTCTTTGCAGGGGAAGCCGCTCCACAGGGAGGCAAAGACGGCCTATAAAAACCGGCAGTGGCTGCATCTCAGGGCGTTTCCTTGCCTTAGTCTCATGCAGTCTCAGCAGGCATAGTCCGGGTAGTCGAGGTAGTGATTCACATGAACGGGAGTTTGATACATCTCTGCAGGAGTGAAGCAAGGTGCGCTTGCTGGCGATCTGATATCAGATAACCACCGTTTTACACACGGGAAGAACCCAAGAGGAGAGAGATGGATATTAT